CTGTAAAATTGACTATCACTTAACCTTATTTCTCTGGATAAATGTTAAAAGCAACGTCAATGTCTTACAACGTGCATGTGCTTAAGAGGCAATAAGACACCACCAGGCAAAGAGTACCAGCTTTGAGATAAAGAGGATTGAACTTGACTTTGTTAATTGTGTGACCTTGGCTAAGGTATTTACTCTCTCCAACTAAGCCTTAATTTCCTCAACTGTACAATAGAGAATTGAATAATAATATCATCGAGTCACTGTAGACTCACTGAGATTACAGGTAGTAAGTATTGGCACAAAGTATTTGTTCAACACAGTTCATGTCTCTTCTTTTGAGGCACCACCCTCCTCCTGTTCCAATGGCAGAAAGTTCAGTTCTTAACCTGCTTCTTGCTTCCATGAGATGAACAGCAGGATAGCAATCTTCTGCTGGCCCACCATCAGAGACCTCTGAGGTCTAAGATTCACTGGGCTGATTTTGCATGTTAGTGTTCTCCTCATTGATGCAAATAATTGACAGTTGGCCTCCTTAATCTTGGAAAGTTCAGCAAAGTGTAGCTAGAAGTCCTTCCTTTCCTTTGCCCAAGATGTAAACAAAATCAAGATTTAGAGCAGGGAGGGTAGGGGGCCAATTCATATTATTTCATAGTGAGTATTTTAAGAACACAAAGTTATTTTGGGGGATTGTCTTTTTACTCTATTAATAAGATGATTTCAAGAGAAAGAAAATAAGTTCTTTGAGAACTAGTCTTGCAAGTTAATTTAATTTTTAATAGTGAAATATTGTGTTGGGAGAAATACTGTGCCTCCCTATGAAGAACTGGTGAATTTGCCTCTGTACGTACAATATCCAATGAAATAATTTTTAATTTACTGGTGTTCTTTAGTTTTTTAGGCACTGTGTAAGCCTCCCTTGTATTTTTAAATAATGAAATATGTTGCCCTTTGAATAGTTGTCTACCAAATGGGTTACAGTAAATCTCTTAATCTTTGAGAGTTTATTTTATTCTGAGTTGCCTGGTACATGGATCCCAGTGGTATTTGAATATAATTTGTGTTTAAGTTTAGCAGTTTAGGGAGTTTCAATGTACCTTATTCATGTGCCTTATTCTATGTAGACATTATTCCATGTAAACCTAATTATCAGTCACCTTCACATCTTGGTGATTATAAATAGAGTATTGTCTCATTTATCTTCTGAGAATAACATACCTACCTCCAGCACAGGCTTCTCCTGCCCTAGGTCTTCAAGAAAATAATCCCCTTTCCCGAACTTCAGAACTGTTGTTCTCTATTGTATACTTTTGTTATTTTGAGAATGTTATACAAATGAAATCATAAAGTATATATCATCGTACTCTTCCAGAAAGATTGTTTTTGAATTTAAGATCTATTCAAGTTGTTGTGTTAGCCATAATCTGTTCCTTTTTATTTCTGAGTATTATTTCCTTGAGTAAATGTACTACAGTTTATTCATTCAGCAGTTGAAAGACATGTGATTATTACAAATAAAGCTTCTGTGAACATTTATGTACTGATTTCTGTGTGGACATATGTTTTCATTTCTCTAGGATAAATAGTCAGGAGTGTAATTGCTGGGTTGTATGATAATATATGTTTAACTTGATAAGAAATTGTCACATTGACTTTCAGAGTGGCTATACCAAGTAGCAACACATCAGAAAGACAGTTTCTCTATATCCTCATCCATACTTGATTAAATCTGTCCGTATTTTTTTTTTTTTTTCATTTTAGCCATTTTAATGGAAATGTAGAGATACTTCATTGGGGCTTTAGTTTGCATTTCCCAAATAACAAATGCCTTTTCCTCCCTGATTTTTCTTTCTGTTCCCCCTTTTCTGTCTTCCTATACGTTACTGAGCATTCTATCTAGTTTTGTATATCAACTATGCATGGTCTGTCTACTCGGATGTTCATACACAGATTTAAAAGTTCCTTTTTTCTAGCAATGGTGTCTCCCATCACCCTTTCTTCCCTCAGTTGCTGAGAGAAGAAGGGCTGCTATTCTTTGCTGTCCTTTGTTTAGTGAAGGATGAGGATGACAAACCAGGGTTATTGTCACAATCTCCACAGATGCTATATCTGTGGAGAAGACAAGGATGACATCTCTGCTTGGGCTAGTGCAGGACTGGAGATGACTGAAAGGATTATTTCTTGAGTCCTGAGGTCTCTGGGCAGCCTGGCTTCCTTCCCTCACCTTTCAGAGTCTTCTGATAGTTGCTTTATGTATTCCATCTGGGGTTTTTAGTTGTACTTAGTAATAGGGAGAGGGTGAAATGTGCATATTACTTTATCTCACCTCAAACCAGAAATGTGATCTGTATTGAATTTCTTAATCATTCTTATTTCAATGTGACCATACTGCTGTGCTCTAGTATAGCATAAAATAAAATAATAAGCAGTTTTCTGGATTGCCTGTTTCGTAACCTTTCTTTCTCTCCTTCCCTATCTTCTCCCACTTTCACACACAGACACTCAGAGACATCCCACACAAAGAGTCCATGTTCAATATTCTACACCATAGTCTTATGAGATTGCTTTTTTAAACCCCAGATCTTTGTGTTATTGAGTAGGATATTAAGGAAATTTTATTTGTGGAATGAAAGAAAAAGGATGTTGATGATATGAAGTTTTTCCCAAAGCCAACAGATTTTAATTTAAGGATCCAAACCCTTTGTTTATCTTTGCCAGGAAGGGAATATTTGAGGGTATTTTAAAAAGATCATTTGTGCAAAACTAACTACTGTTTTATTAAAAGCGATAAGTTAACTGTACTTTCAGGTAATAAGCCATTTAGGTTTCATAAACATCTAGAATTTTAGTTCTTAGAGAAACTATAGAGATTTGCTAGTTTTACTCTTTCATTTTATGAGAGAACGATTGAAAGTAACTCCATAGTATTTGCACAGTCTGAATCTATTGAGTTAAATTTCATAAGTTAGCAGAGTTTTCAGTGTGGACATCAGTTTTAACAAGTTAACAGGTTAATCTCTTTCTTAAATGTTAAATTATCTTTAACTCTTTACACAAGACACATTTTTTTGGAATTTCAAAATAGAGAGGAATCACTAATAATTCATCTTAAATATACTTTTAGTACCTTTTAGATAAATTAATCTTAAAGACATTGGGTACATTTGTAAATACTTATAATATGAATACATCTTTTATACTTAATCATTAGGTAATAATCTGCAATATTAATAATTTAAAAACCATTACTGGTTATTACTATTCAATAATGTTTCTGTAATTCATCTAAAGGAATTTTTAAAGAAAATATATTCAATAGAACACTGGTTTTATAGTATTGAGGTTTATGTTGAAATGAATTTGGATTAAACATTCCATTGTATTGATTCTACCAACTAACCACTGAAATTTACCCTTATCGTGTGCTTAGTTCTCTCCTTATTCAGCTTAAATTGTATATTTTACCATTTGTTGTGGTCTCCTTGCAAAGCTGTCACAGAATTCCATAAACTAGGTATATTATAAATAGCAGACATTTATTTCTCATGGTTATGAAGGATGGGAGGTCCAAGATCAAGACACCAACAGATATTCTATCTGGTAAAGGCCCGTTTCTTGGTTCGTAGATGGTGCCTTCTTTCAGTTTTCTCACATGTAGGAAGGGACAAAAAGTCTCCCTGGTTCCTCTTTCATAAGGGCATTACTTTCATTCATGAGGACTCTACCCTTGTGACCCCACATCATCACCACAGAAGTTAGAATTTCAACAAATGAATCTGGGGGGAGGACACAAACCATAGCACATTATATTCACTTTTTTTTTCCTACACCCCAAACATGTTTTCTTTCTTCTCGCTTGATGAGCAAAAATCTCAACTCTAGTTAAATAACACAATTCTCTTTCTACTCCTGACCTGCACCCCTACAGGTGAACATATTTGATAAACACAGAGAGAGGTACTCCTGCTGGTTTGTTTCATTTTGAATTCATGAGCACCGACCTCCAGTGGGCTCTTAATGCTGACAAGTAAATATATTATATTTCCCTGGTTTATACCTTCCCCCAGTCCACTGGAAGTGTCTTTCATACTTTCACTCACTCCTGAAGCTCCTATAGCCTTCTTGCATCTGAATTCTCAGCAGGCAACCTTGTGTCTTATTTGACTATGAAAAGAGATGTGATCAGCAAATAACTTCCACAAGCTCCCCTATGACCTCTCCCTGCCTGCTTGCACCTGTGCTCATATCTTCCCTCCTCTTCCTCTGGATCAATGTCTGTTCACTTGGCAATGGCCATCCCCCCCCTTACAGCTTAGTTCTGTGCACTTTTTAGTCCCAGTTAGTCCTGTAGCAATTCTTCCCATTCTCTCCTGAGTTTTCATTCTCTAGTGGGGATTTCTCATCAATATTTAAACATCCTATTAATTCTTTCATCTTAAAAATATTAGCTTCTCTTCATTTTTCTTTCTACTTCAGTGTCACCTATTTCTTTCCCTTTACAGAAAAACTCCTTGGAAGAGCTTTATACTAGCCATCTCCAATTTTCCTCTTTCAATTGTCCCTTGAATCCACTACAAACAAGCATTGTTTCCTTTACCTAGTCACTGAAACTATTCTTTTTTAGGTCACCAGTGAGTCCCTGTTGCTAAATCCAAAGGTCAACTCAGTCCTCAATTTACCTGACTTACTACAAGCATATCTTTCCTTTCTCATGGAATGGTGATCTTCACTAGGCCTCCAACTGTCTAGGTCCTCTCCAACCCTCCTGACCACAGCTTCACAGTCTTGTTTGCTGCTTCCTCATGGTCCACCCTGACCTCTAAACATTGGAGTGCCACAGGACTTAGCCCTTGGGACTCTTCCGTTCTACCTATTTGCATTTCCTCAGCGATTTCTTCCAAAGTCATGATTTTAAGTACTCTCTAAGGATGAATGAATCTCAAATTTCGTGACTAACTTAGATCTCTTTTCTGAACTCTAGGCTCATATAACCTATTGCTACTTAATATCTGCACTGGCCGTGCGTGCGGCCGGCTGCGTCGGGCTGCAGGAGAAGATGGCGGTCTCCACAGACAAATTATGAAAACAGAATATATAGCCTGAAAGTAGAATGTGGACCTAAATACCCAGAAGCTCCTCCATCAGTTAGATTTGTAACAAAGATTAATATGAATGGAATAAATAATTCCAGTGGGATGGTGGATGCACGGAGCATACCAGTGTTAGCAAAATGGCAAAATTCATATAGCATTAAAGTTGTACTCCAGGAGCTAAGACGTCTAATGATGTCCAAAGAAAATATGAAGCTTCCACAGCCTCCAGAAGGACAAACATACAATAATTAATTTTAGTGGATCTCAAACTTGTCTTAAATCAGCAACCTTTTACTCATGTTAATGTCTTGATTAAATATCACAATGCGAAATACCCACACATTAAGTAAAAGAATTCCAGCTGGTAAACATGACCTGGACATTTGTAAGAATATATTTAATATATGTACACCCATTATGTTTTCAGGTAACAGGAGGAAAAATGCGGCGTACTTTTTTTTCTCTTGTTAAGGCACTGTCATTTAAACATAAGCCTGGAGTACCCGAAAGAGAATTCAGGTTGACAAGATGAAAGCGTAGTGAGAAGTGTCAGCTGGCAGTGGAAGCATGTGTGTTTCTGAAAAGTAAAAGTCTCAAGAAAGAAAAACAGAAATGGCAGGCTTTATCCATCTTGCTTAGTGAAAGAGCTGCAGTTGAAATTGTTTAAAGTAGCAGGTATAATGAATATCGTCATAAATGTTAATTTTTGAAGCGGTATGGGTGCTGACTACTAGTAGTATCAAAAATATGTTCAGGATTGTTTTGATACCTGTATTTATAATAAAAAATGTTGGGGGGATTGATGAATTTCTGTTAAAAGCTATTCCTGTGTGTTACATGTAACAGACATGGTAAATATTTGTTTACAGTCTTTGTTTAACAAACCATGCGTTTAAGTTTAAGTGAAGTAAACATAAAGGAAATAGGTGTATGGATATGTGATTTTGAGATTAAAGTTAGTCTTAAAATGTAAATAAAATGTGGAATGTGTCCTCAGAGACTGTGCCAAAAAAAAAAAAAAAAAAAAAAAATATCTGCACTAGTCTGTGATAAATAAGTAAATCTCTCAAAGGTAATTTGTATAAAACTGAACTCCTAATCTCACTTTAAGATCTACTTCTATTTTCTTGACAAGCCAATATCCCATCCTATCGCATCCTAGCCTATCCCATTCTATACTATCCATTCCATGCCATTCCATTCCACTTCACTCCACTCCATCTCATTCCATCCTAACCCATGCTATTATGTTCTAATAATTCTCAACAATCTATTCTCAACACATCAGCCAGATTTCTATTTCTACCAAAATAGAAATTGGATGAAATTCCACCTTGGCTCAGAGTCCTCCAATGACTGACTACCACTTGGAATAAAAGCATTCTTTGTAGAAGCCTCCAAAGTCCCCTATGATCTTACTTCTTCATCCCTTTCTTACCTTACTTCTTATTCCTCTCTCCTTCACTTAAAGCATACCATCCTTACTGCCCTGGGTGCTTCTCTCTGATGCAAATAAAGCTTGATTTTTACCTCAGGGTCCTTGCACTTTCTGTTTCCTTTGTTTAAAGTCTTTTTACCCAGAAAATTGCGTGACTCTCTTCCCCACCAACTTTTCCTCATTACTCAAGTATCACCAGCTCTGTCTGTTTTTCTTGGCACTTTGCATATTCAAATTGTGACCTCTCCCCTGCATACACTCGCTTTACTCTCTTCCTTTCTTAGAATTTGTCATCATTCCACAAGTCATATATTGTACTTGTTATCTTATGTATTTTTTATCCTCCACTTGGAATTAAACTCTATGAAGACAGAGAATTTTTTCGATTTTCTTTATTGCTGTATCTTCAATACCTAACAAAGACTCTGACACATAATATGTACTCAATATCTGTAGAATGATTTGAGTGAATGAATAAATTTTTCATGCAGACAAAAAAGTTTCAATTGAGAGAGAATACTGTCATTGGGAAGTAAGACATGCAACTAGTTGCTTCTGTAAAATCCAGAATCAATTATAGTGGGGGGGAAAAAAACCTACAAATAATTTCTAGGCCAAAAATGGAAACTTTTTAGGTCTTTATGGATTGTGTTTTGCCAGGGAGCTATCTCATTTTTCACTGTCAAGAAAGACCACACTGCTTTCCCTGAGATTTTAAGTCCTTGAACAGGACGCCCAGCGGGTACGACTGCCAACTACCGACTGTTCTGCATTTGTTGCATTGGGGACTCTGTGCATTGTTCTCCCTCCTCATCTTGCATGGTGGGCTCACCACCTCAAAGCATTTTCCTTTCTCATTTTAACAGGTTACCATTTTAAGAGTCTCCAATCAATACCTTTTCCCATTTACATCACATTAAGAGGCAATTTAAAAGTTTAATCAAAGGCTTCGGCAATTGTTGCTGATTACGCATGCTGAGTTAAATTTGGGGACTGCAGACTGTGGATTGATTCGTGCGTGATTCCACTGTGGTAGGAAGTGAGGGAAGCAGGGTTTCTCTCCCTGCTTGTAAGCACTTGCAGGAGGACTATTGATCTATTTGCCTTTGTGCTTCAGAGCTTGGCTGGTCAATTATTTACAGATCACTGGGACAGTGAGTGTTTAGGAGCAGGTGAAAGAGAGAGGTTGAAATTGCTGTTCTTAGAATGTGGCTTTAATGGTAAAGTTCATAAAATGAAAACACATTGTTTTAGAGAAACAGATAAGTCACAGTGGGAAACAACCGGTGGCTTAATCAGAGTCCCTTTAAACAAAAATAATTGGGATATGAAGCCAACTTGCATGTTTCTGTTTTTCAGTGGTCTTTCAGATATTGGATGTGGTCTAGTCAGAAGGGAAACAAAATTCAGTGTTTCATTTTGGTGTATGGGTGTGAAAATAGATGGGTCTCAAAGCTTCCTTTCACCCTTAAGAGTCAACTTGGCGAGACCTCATCTCTACAATAAATCAAAAAATGAGCCGGGCATGGTAGCGCGCGCCTGAAGTTCAGGCTCCTTGGAAGGCTGAGGTGGAAGGATCACCGGAGCCCGGCAGGTCGAGGCTGTGGTGGCTGGGAGCGGCCACTGCCCTCCAGTCTGGGCGACAGAGTGAGACTCCAACTCAAAATAAATAAATAAATAAATAAATAAATAAATAAAAAGAGTCATTGTTTCAATATTGTTCACATTCAAAAAAATATTTTCAAGGGCCTGTTTAAGTTTGTATGAAATGGCCTAGGGATACAAAAAGTGAATATAAAATCATCTTTAAAACTCTTATTTTTCAAGAACTGACTCATAGAGTTGTTTTGAGTATTAGATGAGATGAGCATTAGCCCTGTGAGGCAGTTTACGTTATTACTCACAAAACTTGGGTGAAGACATTAAGACAGCTTAGATATCCTTTTAAATGATCTGTGAGATATCACGCAGCTACTGAAGGGTAGAGATGTAATTCAAATGATGGTGGTCTGAAATCAAAGTTGGAACACTAAGTGCTGTGCTACGTGTTATGGGCTGAATTGTGTCTCTCCTAAATTCACATGTCGAAGCTCTCATCTCCCATGTGACTGTGTTTGGAGACTGGGCTCTTAAAGAGGTAATTAAGGTTAAATGAAGTCATAAGAGTGGAGCTTTAATCCAGTAGGACTGATGTCATATTCCTCATAAGAAGGAAATGAGATGCAGCGGCACAAAGAAGATGTCATGTGAGGACAGCGAGAAGACAACCATCTGCAAGTCCAGGATAGTGGCCCCTGGAGAAACCGAACCTCTCACACCCTAATCTTAGGCTTTTGGTTCTTAGAAATGTGAGGGCTACATTTAAGCGGCTCAGTCTGTGGTATTTTGTTGTGGCGGCCCTAGTAAATGAAGACACTCTGCCTTTCTCAAGTGCCTTAAGTCCCCCACACTTTAAAAAAATTTGCCACAGTACCTAACCTGTAGTAGATGCTGAATAGTCACTATTCAAGATGTAGCAAATATCTCCTAGAGGAATTCAGCAGGGAGATCCCAGGGGATTCCTGTGGCAGAAAAATCTGCTAAAGAGGTCATAAACAACATGTTTGCCAATCTTGCCAGTCTCCTGCCCTGCACGGTGGCTGAAGGGACCACAAACCATGCATAAAAGCAGAGAAAATGGTCACAAGCAATTTAGAGAGAGACGGTGGCTCAAAACAGAGCAATGACTCTAAGAAGCTGGAAGTTGTTTTGAATATTAGATGAGATGAGCATTAGCACTGTGAGGCAGTTTACATTATTACTCACAAAATTTGGATGAAGACATTAAGACAGCTTAGTTTTCCTTTAAATGATCTGTGCGATATCACGCAGCTACTTGGAAGAGTAGGCATTTAGATTCAAAACCAAAAAAAAGGGAATAGATCAATAAAATGCTATAATAATTATTGATAAAAATCATTTGAGCCTACACAAACACCAGCATAAAATCCATTTTCAGATTAAAGTAGAAGTAAACTGCTCTAGAATGAGTTTTACGTCATCTGTCAAGGAAATAGGATTTCAGAGAATTGTTAAAACTGGACATTTGGCCGGGCTCAGTGGCTCAGCCTGTAATCCCCCACCTTTGGGCGGCTGAGGTGAGTGGATTGCCTGAGCCCGCGGGTTCAAGACCCGCCTGTGTAGCGAGACCTCATCTCTACAATAAATCAAAAAATCAGC